TGAGGGAGGAACCAGCAGGTGAGTGCTGTGAGGTTGTGCGCACACAGGGTGGGGGAGGTGGGTGCACAGTGGGTGATGCACAAGGGAAACTTGTCATGCTCAGCCTGGACAACATGCAGCTTGCTGTGCATGTACAAACACGTGCAGTAATAGAGTGTGACACGCGGGTGTGTGCCACATGGTGCCAGGAGCCATTTCCATAACACATACGGGTGGGTTGGCAGTGTGAGAGGGCATATGGTCCCATGGGCACTTTGGGGCCCCTATGATGGTCAGGCTGATGCCTAGCTCACTCATGGTGTTACTTTAAGAACCTCTTGAGTCCCCTGTCTGAAGGAGAGTCCCTTACAACGAGGGCATGCCCTTGGGGACTGCTGTTGCACGCATGACTGATTGTCTCTTCTTCTTTTCCTCAACAGCTGGACCACCTGTGCAAGAGGGCCGCAGCACCCCAGTCCTACCTTCATCTTGGGGACACAGGAGCTGCATGCACTGGCATGCTAATACAGAGGTTCTGAAGATGCATGTGGTGGCCCTGCAAGATCTCAACAAGACCCTGAAAGAGAGGACGGAGGCAGAGGCTCTGCGACATGATCACCTGCTGGAAGAGCTTGTACTGCAGCGCATTTCCATTTGTGCCACCACCTCAGGGATATTGTGTCCCCCCATTTCTAGTCATGTGAGCAAGCAATGGAATCTCCCTTTTAAGCATCCAAATGTGCATTCCACCTGCATGCGAGTTTGGCTAAGATGAGTATTAAACTGCTCCTTGCTCACATCCACGTGACTGGCGTAGGGCTTCATCAGCCACGGCATCGGGGGTAGGCGGCATCAGCCACAATGCACACCGGCATGTGCATGTCCCCGAGGGCAAGGTCCTGATGTGGGGAAAAATGTTCCTGCCTGCAACCTCCAGTAGAGGTAGGAGTTCCTGAAGATGCAGGCATCATGCGCCTGCCCTGATCTCCCAACACAAATGCCAGAAAACTGTCCCTGGTGGTCGACCAGGGACTAGAGCACCATTGAAAAGTAGCTCTTCCTATTAACGAATTAGGCTGCTCAATGGGATGGTGCACACATTGGGATGTGTCCCCCATCAAACGCAACTCCGCAGTTCGGGAAGCCAAAGGCAGCAAAGTTGGCCACGACAGCATCAAGGTCTCCCAGTCGGACGAGTTTGTTCAGCAGCTCGGAACTGATAGCCGTCACCACCTGCAGAAAGAGACAAATAAACAGACAACAAAATTTTAGAAGGGGTGCCTGATCTCTTGGGAGGAGAACCCACCACTCACCTTCTCTCTCAAACACCCCGGGAATCACCTCCTCAGAACTCTCCTTCTCCCTCCCCCTCCCCAGCAGCTCCCTCCCACTTCCACTCCACCCCATCCCCCACTCCACCTTGCCCTTTCCTGACAGTCTCCCTTTTTTACCCCCTTTCCCCCCCAACTGTGCCTGTCCCCCTACAATGATTTGAAGCAGCGCAGGGTGAGTGGAGGAGTTTCATCCCACTCTCACTCCACTCCTCTTTCCTCGTTTCCCTTTCCTGACAGTGCCCCTTTTTCACACACCCCCAGCAGTGACCATCCACCTAGAATGACTTACCTCCATCAAGATGGCCCCAACAGTAGACCTGCTCACACCAAACTGGTGTCCCACAGAGCAGTAGCTGTCAGACATTGCAAGCTTCCAGAAGGCAATAGGGACACTTTTCCACAGGGATGGTGGGGCACAGATGTGTGTCCTGTCATTGGAGAGCAGGGCCGAGCCAGGCACACAGCTCCTGGAATGTGGCCTTCCACATCCAGAAGTGGCGGAGCCACTTCTGGTCATTCCACAACTCCATAATGAGCTGGTCCCACCAGTCAGAGCTGGTGTCAAGCCTCCAAAAACGCCTCTCCAGGAAGAAGTTTGGAGGCAAGGGCCCTGCATTCCAGGCGAAGCTTCCATATCTCTGGTCTGGATCTAGATGGAGAAGGAGCATCATGACTGTATCATGCAGATGAAGCAGAACTTGTAGAATGATCATGTGGGGCCATCGCCTGCCCAGGGTCAGCTCTGGCTCCATGGCAAAAAAAGGGATCAAAATCAGAAAAATCTCCAAAAAACCCAAACTGCTGTCTTGTCCCAGGAAGCAGGGCACTCACAGCAAGCATTGCAAAACCTTTGCTGTTCCTCTAGGAGGTAAGCAAGGGAGCTGCAGGAGCAGAGCAACGACTGTTTGGGGGGGTCCCTTTAAGCACGCGTCTCTGCAAAGGGCAGGCAGTAGCACCAGGAAGTAAATGCTGCCCCCATGCGCTGCCAGAAGCGGTTCCGAGTGCCTTCTTTTTTCGACACAGTGTCCGGCAGTCTGGATGCTCTTTTTCGAAAAAGAGGATCGATTTTTTGATCCACATAATGTAATCTAGACTCTCTTTTTCGACAGAGGCTTTCTTGACAGTATCTGTGGACAAAGTGTCTGTTGAAACAGGCATTCAGTCTAGATGTAGCCGAAGGGGGAAATGGCAGAATCCTGACACAGGGAAAACTCTCATTAAATCAATAGGGCTTTCGGTACTAAGTATGAAAAATACAGGTTTCAAAGAACACAATTATAAACTTATGGGGCGGGGGAAAGGCATGCATGCTCTGCTTCTAAAGTCATTAGCACTGCTTCTAAATACAGATGCAATATGTATCCTTGTGCAGTGTGTGAGCTCTTCAAGTAAACTCTGGAGGCCATTCTACTTCCAAATAAGGTTTGGACAATAGAGGAATAATAATAATTCAAGGTGGAAACATTAGAGAAACCTAGTTATTGAATTACTTCTGCTGCACTTTTAACCTCCTAACAAAGAGATTGTTCATACTGAAATGATTGACACAACTTCCTCAGGTTTTCCATTTTAGTTGATTTTATTTGTTTTATTTCTCCCCTTTCCCTAATGGATTTTTGTTGTACTTTCTTAGAGAGTATTCTTTCATATTCATGGAGTGCAGTAATTCCACCCACTCCTGCCTGCTAACTGAGAACCATCTGATGGCTCTCCATAGGGGATGAAAAAAGGAATATCACACATAAGAGGGCTAAGTGTATTGGGAAAACTCAGAATTTCTACTTGTGTTGTTGGCAGTATGTGTTTATTTGTATTATGATAGCACTTAAGTAACTCAGTTGGCTACCAGGGCCCTTTTGTGCTGGGTACTATACGAACATATGATAAGGGCCTGTCCCGAGGAACATACCCTCTAAGAACAAAATGTGAGAGAACAGGTGGATACATCAAATAGATGGGGAAACATAATGAACAATATATATTTTAGCTAATATATATTTATGGCATAGTATTTGCAGAAATGGAGGGGAAATGTGAGAGATGGAGACAGGTTTTATGTGAGTAGGGTGCAATGGTATGATACTACACAGTACAACATGAAGGGACAATGTGGAATAAAGATGAGAAAGCAGAGTAGGCTCAATTATCTTTCCAGGATTTTAGACTCATTCTTGATTTTGTATGTCCTCTATGTAACCTCCACCCATGGAGCTGCTATGAAGACTTCAGTGGAGAAACCATCTGCCCAGTAAGTGGAACCGTGGTAGGAAGGTGGCAGGAGAAACACTATATGGCATCCCCTAATGCCTGTGCTCTTGTGTTTGTATAGAGACTGGTCTGTTCTTCTGTGAGCCAGCAGTTGTGAATTTATCTCACAGTGTTTGGATTACTATTTAATGCTCTGAAGGGATTTATTGTTTGAGTTCCCAGCTGCTAAATTACAATATTACCTGAGAGTGTCTAGCAGATGAATTAAATTCTCTGTGAGTTTTAATAAATTTCATAATAGTGATAAGGCAATTCCAGGGGGTGTTTTATTATGTGAAAACAGTTTCCCTTGTATGTTTGCTGCCAGACTTTATAACATCTTAGGGAAGTGATTATACAAATACTGCTTCAAGAAAATCACACACCTATTTAGGGTTTACTAGGTGAAATTATTAAATGCATTTGAGACAGACTTTATATAGATAAAATGAGACTTCTGGAATGCTTCAGAGTTTGGGAATCAAATTCCAAGTCTTTGACCAACACAAACTGTACCACCTGCAGTTATATGCCTATTTTTTAAAAGTGCCTTTCAGAGAATATTCTTGTTGTTATACATTTTATTACAGTAGCACTTAAAGGCCCTTAGTTTGGGTTTGGCACCCGATGGCACTATTTACCATACACAGAAAATGAAAAGATATTTTTCCCCATAAAGATCTAAGAAGCCATAGTACCTAAGTCTGCAAAATCATGCATTTAAATGAATGGAATGGAATGGGTTATATCAGTTGAGTACATATATAGAAAGATTCATATGTCCAAAGCAGTCATTTTGAAATTTTTTTGTAGCTTCCCATTTATATGTAGGTATAAGACCCAGAAATTCCTCCCAGGTAACATGTTGAAAGCTTCAAAACTTCATTATATCTGTTTCTGATTAGTTTTATCTGGAAGCCCTTGCTCTATGGAATCTGATCTATCTGTCAAGGTACATCTACACTGTACCCGTAGCCCAAAATAAGCTATGCAATTTGAGCGTCACAAATCACATACCTTATTTTGAAATAAAGCACTATTCTGAAATGTCCCTTAATCCTCATGGAACAAGGTTTACAGGGACATTGAAATAGCGATCCCGTTATTTTGAAAATTATTTCAAAATAATGGGCTCATTTAAAAGACGCGGAATAGCTATTTTGGGATACCGGAAGTATCCCGAAATAGCGCCGCAGTGTAGACTTACCCTCAGTTACTGTGAATAGAAATGTAATATGGAACAGTTATTTCTGGAAACAATTTTTTTAATCCATTAATTTTGCAAGTTTTTATTTTCAATCTCTAAAGTGATTTATGCATATGTAACGGAAGGAGAATTTTTAGAATGCTAAAATTAACTAACGTATATGCCACAGTGGAAAATATTAAATAGAAAACTAAAATGTTTGTCATTCTGAGTTTGTATTATGTCAATTTCAGCATGGCAAAGAGATTTCTAATGTGAAAATGTAATCCTTCACTAAGTATTCATATTATGGGTCCTCCTTTGGCTAGTCCCTAGAAGAGAGGTTTACTGTAATGACCAGCGAGAGGTAGGTGTTCCTTTATTTCAGGTATTAAAAGCTCATGCTTTAATGGTGGAGGTTTTAGATTTGGTACCCAGTAATAACCCATGATGTTAATAACTATAAAAGGAAGAGGAAAATTTAATAATTTAGACCATGATGCTACCTAACAATCAAATGAATTCTCTTTTGAAAACTTCCATAGACTTTCAATCAAGTCTAGACTCATAGACAAATACACTTTAAGATCAAAAGGAAGCATCATGATCATCTAGTCTGACCTAGTTATTGTTAATGTTAAATGTTAAATGCTAGATGGGAAACAGTATATTCCAGCTTTTGTAAATATGTTTGATAGCATAAGAGAACAAAAATGTAATTGATAATCCAATGTATCTAATAGGATCAAATGCATTTAATAGGATATTTAGAAAAAGTGGAATAAGATATTTAGAAAAAATGGAATACTATGAGAACAACTGGAATGGCTCTGTCAGTATCTTAGAGTTATTGTTAGATTATGGGCAGTCACGGATAACCTGTCTGATATAATTTATGATAGACAATGTTAAATACAGTGCTGAATGAAACATCTTTGGAGCGGGGGAAAAGTTTAGATGATGAATTTGGGAGCCATTCCTATGATTTGTGGAATAAATCAGTACTAAAGGTCTCCCCAACAAATTATAACAAAGGAGAAGGTCTAGGATGTCTAGTTGTGTATCCAGATGGGATAAATATTTGCCAATTAAAAAAAACCTTGTCTTTTCCCCCTTTGAACAGCCCTATAGTTGAAATAGCTTGGGGCACAAAGTTAAAATGTGGCAGTAAGATACTCCGCTTAGGCAAAAGAGATACCTTTAAAATCCTTGTGAACATTGGTTTGATTTGACCAAATTGTGACCAACTGAGTATTGATTGTTGGGTATTGTGCAGTTCCCTTTTAGAGGTGATAGGCTTTCTTAAAACCCTGCTTAATGTATATATTTGTACAACACTTGACATATTGCATATATATATATTGTTTCTAATGTTTAGATAACATCAGGCATGTCAGGGCAGTTAGTAAATAGGGCTGCCCTAGACAAAGTAATGTATTTGCTTCTGTGACGAGTCTGGTTTAGGGATGTCAAACACTAGTCGACTATCCAATAAGCATTTGTTTATCGGATAGTAATGTCGACTAGTCGACTACATGAAATATGAAATAGAGGCAGCAAAGGGGAGGGGAAAAGGTGTTGCCACTTTGAAACCCCAAGGTGGCAGCTGTACAGCGGCGGACTGCTCCTTTAAAACACCACCTGTGCAGCTGCCATCTCTGCATGATTCAAACGGTCAGGGTAGCCCATAGCATGGAGCCAGGGATCAGTGGGGGACTATAAGTCCCCCGCTGACCCCAGCCTCCATGGCTTTAAAATGCACAAGAGCCCCCGCTGGGGACTCTTGTGCATTTCAAAGCAGGCACCCACGTGCAGCCCGGAGTCAGTGGGATTTCCTGCTGGCCCAGGTTGTACCTGGAGTTCTGCATTCCTACTGGGGCTCTGGTACATTTCAAAGGAGGAATGCAGAAGTGCCTATGGACTAGTCCAGTGGTCCCCAACACGGTGCCCGCGGGCGCCATGGTGCCCACGGGGGCATTTGTGTGCACCCGCCAAGTGCTCGGGGCTGGTCTGGCCCTGGCCACGTGGCGCAAGCATGGTGCCGGAGCCAGCCCCGGGCGCATGGTGCTTGGAGGGGGCGCTGGCCCCGGGCGCGAAAGTGTCCCTGCCCTCTGGCGCCTGGCTGGTGAACGGCCACGCCCCCTGGTGCCCGGAATCTCAAATGGTTGGGAACCACTGGACTAGTCAACTAGTCAATGGAAATTCCATCAACTAGTCAATTAACAGCATTTTAGCATCCTTAGTCTGGTTTTCAGGCAGAGACAATGAAGGTCCACTTACATAAGAGGTGTCAAGGCTGTTTCCCACTCTGGCACAACATATACACACATGGTTTTTCCTTCCTTTGTCTCTGAGTCAATTTGCTCTCTAGATACTGAGGGAGACAGAAGACATGTCTCTCTCCAAGAAAAAGACTCTTCATAATGTGTACGTAGGGTAAAGTCTAGATAGATCCGTCAGGTTTTATTGTTTTCTGGTTTGAGAATTTGGATCTGATGTCTATGCTGTTAGAGATGATTTTTCCTCTCTTTTGTAACTAAGTTTTGGCCCATGGTGCAATTTTACATGAGTATATTAATTGGTGGCCCTCAAAAGGACCCCAAAACCTGATCTCTACAGGCTTTGGTACAAAAACTTCCTAATACTCGGACTTTGGGAAATAAAAAACCACTGCCACCGCCCACGTATTCCAGGAAAAAAAAACATGGAAGAGGTCACTTGGGAAACCTCAGCCCTAAAGTAAAACCAGGATACAAAAATTAACCAATACCAGGTTATATAAAAAAGAAAGAACTTTTATTATCAAAACAATACCCCAGTTGCAAGCAAAGTTGGAGTGGCTAGATGGTAAGAGCCACCAATTAATATACTCATGTAAAATTGCACCATGGGCCAAAACTTAGTTACAAAAGAGAGGAAAAATCATCTCTAACAGCATAGACATCAGATCCAAATTCTCAAACCAGAAAACAATAAAACCTGACGGATCTATCTAGACTTTACCCTACGTACACATTATGAAGAGTCTTTTTCTTGGAGAGAGACATGTCTTCTGTCTCCCTCAGTATCTAGAGAGCAAATTGACTCAGAGACAAAGGAGGGAAAAACCAAAAATTCATTTGTCTCAGTTTGAAATCCCTACTTGTATTTCTGTTGGCTAGGTACAGGAGACATAGTTAACCCCTAAATCCTCAGGCTGCTGGCAAACCCTCATGGCCATGACAAGAGGTAATAAAGCTATCAAGCTAACAAGGGGAAAAGATAGCAGAAAACTGAACAATTTGCATCTTAGCAAACACCAGCCAGGGAATAAAAACAGCATGGCACTTCCTTAACCACCAGAAATCATGTTGCCTTCCTCACAGATTGAATAAACTTTACTTTGAGGAAGAGCTGAAAGGAAGGTGGCGCACCTTGGTGCGCAGCCCTGGCAAGAACTGGCTGGCAGGATGCCAGGCTTGTGGTGACTTCCCAGCTGGGCTCCCGGTGCAGGCTGGCAATCGTAACCCGGTGCACACAGCCATGTGAGGCAGGCAGGCTCTGGGGACACGCTGTAGGAGACAAAGGTATGTTTCCAGGAGGACTTCTGGTGCATTTGCACCTGTCCTGAGATTCCTCAGTGGATCCATGGCATGCACTGTTGCCAGCAGCTCCTGAGAAGAAGTCAGGGGAAGAGAGTGGCAGGAATCTTCTGGATGTGGCAGAAAAGACATTGAAAAGCAAAGGGAAATAAAATGGAACACAGTGTATCATAGGAGGCTGCTATGAATGACCTGGATTTCTAAGCCTAGAGAACTATTCTGAAGAGACCCTGGGAAATTGTCATTCATTCTGCCACTGCTACTGGAAAGGAACCATATTGATTTGTATTTGAAGACAGGAAGGAACAGTGTAGAGAGACATTATGGCCTCCTGCTGACCCAGATAGGGAAACTCCCCCAAAGATACCTTGGTGGGAGGTGCCAGAACCACCTGGCTCTGCCCAGAGGAAACAGGAAGGCAGGGCAGGAGGTATAAAAAAAGGGACTTCACATCTCAGTTGGAGGTCAGCAGCTGAGCAGGCCAGAGCTTCTACCCCAGCCCCAGAGGAGAAAAGCTTTGCCACGCTGCCCTCAGAAGGAAAACTGTGTTGGGCCGTTGGACCACTGCTGGGCCCTGAGAACTGACCCAGGCTGCTATGGCCACTGCCTGGGCCCAGAGATTCACCTGGACTCCCAGGACCCTTGCCAAGCCAAGACAAGTGGGCTGGACCACCTGGACCCTTACCCAATCAATATCCAGAGCCTAGACATGCTGCTGGCATCTTCCTCCCTAGCTGACCCGGAGGAGCAGCATCGAAGCCAGGTAGGCCCCCAAGGAGAATGGAGAAATGGCTCAGGGACAGGTGGCTGAAGAAATGGAGGTCAGCTGGGCAGTGCATTGTGACTCGGACCTCCATTGATCCACCGACCCAGACGACGCATTACAGTTTGGAGCCCTGCCAACCCAGTGACTGTGCCGCCACCACTTCTAGGGCCCTGGGCTGGGACACAGTGGAGAGGGTGGGCCTGTGTCCCCCCTGCCAGCTGTTCCCTTGGGAGGTAGGTTCCCCCTGTGGGGCAAATCTCCTGCACTTGTCAGCTCTCTGCCAGCAAAGAGACCCAACCCCTGGCTCAGTGTGCAGATTGGTCTGTGCCTTGGAACCCTTTGGACTACTTACCCATTTGATTGTTTGGTTATTGCCCCATCCTGATCCAGGGCCTGGGCTCATAAATTGCCAACTGGCTTAACCCAGTTTGTTTAACTGTTACTTGCTGCCCACCCCCAACAAAGGTGTGGCATCCAGACGGCCGCCTGGTTTACCAGAGACTGCTTAACTGTTTATTTGCTGTCCCGCCCTAAACCAGGGTAGGCTGCTAGAACTGATATTTGGTCCTCAGTTAAGATTTCATATTGGAATGATAGTTTGTGCTTGTTTAATTTTCCAAAGTACTCAACCATATGTGCTTACTGGTATGAAGAACTCTGTCTAACATAAATAATTGAAAATTAATTTTAGACTAAATCTATTCATAAATATATATCATCCTTTTAGTCACACGATACTGAAGTAGATTATTTGCTCTGTATGTACAGCACCTATCAAACTGAAGATCCTAGCTAGGCAGGACCACAATATAAACTCATAATAAAACAATGCAAATTCCATAACTGCAGCTGAGTAGTGTACATTTGAGTTATGTATGTATATGTTATAAAACATACACATATACCCCATGTATATTTATTGTCATCTTATTGGTCACTTCTTCTGTCTCTTCTGTGTGACTTTGTTCTCTTCATCTGTTAAAATCCTCTTCAGATTTTAAACTCAAGAAAAATAAGTTA